CATACCGCATCCATCCCTGTCGGTGCCTGGCCAGGACCGCCTCCCCTGCCCGCGAGGCCTCTTCTGGCCCCGCCCACCTTATCAAGGTGGTTATCAAGTCCCCATCCTCTATAGCGTCTCCCTGGGTCGCTCCCCCCATCCTTCAGTGGAAAGAGCCCTAAAGATCAAGGTTCCAGTTGTAACGTTTGCCAATTCTCTGCATGACCTCTCTACAACTTATTTCCTCTTTCAGCAACTCGGTTTCCTCTTCTGTAAAATGAGGGATTGCACTGACCCTGCTAGCAAAGGGCAGCTCCCAGCTCCTTCTGTGCCTGCCTCCCTCCCCACCTCCTCTTGGCAAACTCCCAACTAGGAGGAGGCTCTCTGTACTGGCCAAACTCTAGGACATTTTATTGGTTCAGAAATTCAGGGGCTGGAGTTTTTTTCAGTGACATTTACCAATGTACACGAAAAGTGTAAGGTCAATGCTTATATTAAGGATCTCTCTCTCTCTCTCTCTCTCTCTCTCTCTCTCTCTCTCTCTCTCTCTCTCCCCCCCCCCCCTAGGCTGGAGGTGATACCTTCCATTGTAGTAAGGGGCCCTCCCACATGGTGCCCTATTTCATACTCTGTCTAGCAAGACAGAACAAAGCCTAAGGGAAAGGAGGATGCTGGATAATTCAGCTGACCAGAGCATATTCTCTGTGTGGTCTGACCTGGTTCAGAAGGTCAAAGCGGCAGCTGATCCTAGCGCCAGACCCGGTGGTAGATAAAGGAAAGGATTCAAGTGTTCAGGGCACCATTCTCTCCTCTCCCCACAAGTGAGTAGCACAGAATTGGGCACCCAGAACACACTGGGATTAATAGAGTGCAGCAGAGAAAACTGCTCATGAAAGACTTAAAGAGGAACACACACATTTTTGCAAAAGGACAAGTCTAGTTGTCTATGTTCTTAAGCAGAACAAGTGCATGGCACAAGGGATTTGGAAGAATGCTCTCAAAGTGTATTTTTGCCTTATGGCTGCAGTTTCTGCTTTAAGGAATATGATGGCCATATTTTAAACTTAATGCACAGTAATATGGACTTGCTACAGGGTGCAAATGATTCTCTAAGGGAAGGAGTTTCCCCAGAGAGCTTCTAAAAGGGTGGGAGGGCCCCTGGTCCTCTTCTAGTGAGGTGACTCTACCTGAGTCAGTGCAGCTCAGGAGTGTTCAAACCCTTGGTAGGTGTCTTGTCAGGTGGTGGGCCTGGTATGGTTCCAGATAGTTGTGTCTCTCCTCACAGAACAGGCAAAGCCTAAAGTCAGGTGTCACATGCATTTTCCGACACCAGGGTTGTTATGGAGCTGGGTAGAATTGGTGGGGAAATGCAGGGGGCTTCATCTGCATCTGAAAAGGTTAGCTAAGTGAAATTAGGCTTTCTGTAAGGTGTTTTCCTGTCTCAGGCATATCCCAAACCGGCCAATTTGACTTGAGGCCCTGGGCAGGCATCCAAGTCTGGGCCTCCTGAATTGCTCTTAGAGGAAAAGGAGCCTGTTTCAACTTTCTATACTTCTTCAAATGGTACTTTGATTAGATAGGAGATAGCAGTGTGTTTAGTAATGTTACTATTATTACTCTGTCATGGTTATATTTTTAAATTACACTTTCTCTTTCAGCAAAAGGTAACACACATTTGTACTGCAGAGCCAACCAAAGCTGTGTAGCATTTGCCCAGACAGGTTTGAGATGTATTCTAGGACCACTGCTGCCCAAATAGGAAGTCTTTCCCCATCCCCAGGTCAGGGGGCCATGCTTTTTAAAAAAAATTAATACAAAGGTTTTAAAACATAAAAAATTTATTATTGCTACAAAAGTGATGCATTTCTGTTGTTTATACAAGTATTACTTGGAGAATACATAAAAATATAAAGACAAAAACATATCATCTATAATACTAGAACCCAGAAATAACCATTATTAAATTTTAGTATATTTCATGCTAGCCTTTCCTCTAAACATTGATACAAAACTGTGGATGCAAAATGTTCCCAATACACTTATGTTACATATTCAGGAACATATTGCAAAAATAACTTTTTTTAAAAAAATAACTTTGTACCTTACTGCTTATCACTTTATCATATCACACAACCAACCAATAAACATCATTAATATCTTTTGGTTTATTCCCTCCAGCCTTTTATCTGTATATTGATACAAAACAATGCATGCAAAATGCTCCTAATACATTCATAGTGCATATTAGGAACACATCGCAAAAATAGTTTAGCATCTTTCTTTGATGGACTTTTGATATACTTCCTCCTAGCCTTCTTTCCATATTATTGATACAAAACCATGAATGCAAAATGTTCCCCATACACTCGTATTACGTATTAGGAACACATCACAAAAATAGTTTAGCATCTTTCTTTGATTACTGATTATACCACAACTCAGAGAAACCACTATTAAAGTTTTGATATATTTGCTCCCAGCCCTTTATCTGTATATTGAAACAAAACTGCCTACAGAATGCTCCCTATATACTCAGAATTCAGAGATGGGAACAGTGCCAAAAGATTTGCATGTTTCTTTTATCACTACATATTTCATTAGGAGCCCATACTCATGTCACTTAACAGATGCTTTGGTTTACCCCATATTTTGTTTACCCAATTCTTTGTTGGTCATCAGGATGTTTCTAATTTCCATCCTTAAAAATACTAAAATGAGCATCTCTGTGTATTCTTTTTTGTGACTTTTTTGTTCATGTAGTTTTTATGTTTTCTTGACCACTTATATGAAATGAACATGCTAAAGATGACACTATGTCTGCAGTGCCTATAGCTCATGTTTTTCCAGCTGTTGCTTGCTTGAGCACAAATTCTTTGTTTTGACATTCTAGCATGAACATAAAATCTTATGCATTTATATGTTTTAATTCATCAAAAAGAAACTTAAAATAATAAAGACACAAAGTCTGATCTCCACCTCCCATTAAAGCATTAAAATACAACTTTCCCCCTCTTGCTGCCATGGCAACCACTTTCTTCCCTGCTTAGGGCCCACTTTTCTCCTGATCTTTTCATCGGTTGGTCTTGTAATACCAGTTGTACTGTTATGAAGATGAATGGCTCCCAGACCTTTCAGTTATCAATCTGTCACAAGTGCACAGTGGTATCTTGTGACATGATGATCCCCAAGATGTCTGAGGTCTGTGCATCTTTGACCCAAAATTCTGTGTCACGCATGACCACTAAAGGTTTTTTAGAGGATTATGTCTGACAGTGTAAGACAAAACATAGCATAACAAAAACACATGGAAAAGTAGGGAAAGAAAAACCTTCAGTTTGAATCCTGCCACCTTAAGCAACAAGTATGTTTGTTCTTTACAGTTTCTGCTCCTATACAGACCTACTTTCCAATCATGAGTACCTATGATTTTATGTCCCTGATTTGTAAAACTTTATATATTTTCCAGGCTTCTACACAGTCTTTGTAAGTATTATTTGTAATGGCTGACAGATTCTATTGAGTGATTAAATTAAGTTAATCCCTATGCTTGGACATTCTATTTATTTCCTTAAGATTAATTTGGTTGGATCTATAGGAAGTTATCAAATATGGGCCAGAGATTTTCAATGAATTAAATTATGCTTTTTGGGGGTCTGTACACAGCTGGGTAATTTACAGTCTCTCTTTGGTGGGGCCAGTCTTGGGCCTCACCCAGGAAATGTCCAGGGTATAGGCAGATGCTCATCATAAGACTAATCAATCTCACCTCCAATATTTCTAACCAAACTAACTCCACTCCATTTCCTGCTCTGCCCCCCCCACCCCACTGCCTAGCTGTTTCTGATTAACAGGTAATGATATAAGCAGCACCGCATGCAGTCTGGAGGAAGAGACCCCAGAGTAGCCTCAGACAAATCCTTAATCTCCAGAAGCCCCAGTTTCCTAGAAATTGTTTCTTTAACTGCCTATCCTATTTATCGCCAGGTTTTGCAAGCAGAAAATATGAAAACACTTGGAAAAGCATGTAAAAGCACGATACAGAAGCAAGATATGGGGATTATGATAATTCTGATCACTGTGGGTTTGTGACCAGGGCCTTAACAAGGTTTGGTCTTAGATTCATAGTCTGGTCTGGACAGCAAGTGGAGGTGAGGCTGGGAGACAGGTGAGGCAGCAACCTTGTAAGAATCACACTTCGGCGCAATCAGGACTCTCAGTATGCTGCTGCTCAGGCTCAACTCCCAGACTAAGGGCCGTGAAGCCAGGGCCACCCCCTAACTCCCACCAGCTGCTCAGATTATAGAGCTCACTAGGGTGAGGCAGTGCTCCAAAGCCTGAGCAACCAGAGGAAATGCAAGTCTTCTCAGAGCTCCTCCCAAAGGGCTCAATTTACTACTCCCACGGGGATCTAAGCCTTTTTGAACTTGCCAAAGAGATCAATTGTGGAGGCGGGGAGGGAGGCCAAGGTTGTGGACAGGTGAAATATTACAAAAGACCTAGCAGATCTTTGTTCAATTTACTGGGCAGTATGTAATGGGCAGGAGTAGTGGGGTGTAGGGTGGCAGGGAGATACACATTTGCTATCAGTGGTGTATGGACAGTTTTTCATTTAAGAGTAATGTAATCATCCTAAATACAAATGTGTATATGAAGTTCTAGGGTTATGCGGGTAAGTTACAGTGCAGGCTGATGGGAAAATAGATCTCTCAGAATGTTGCACCCATTTGGCTACAGCCCCCGACTCAAGTCTTTATAATTCTTACCAATAAAATAAACTTTCATTGATCTTTCAAATAATACTTTTTGAACCTATTTTTATTTCCATCTTGCACAGCCTCTCAGGAAAGCTGTCTAGACATTAACTCCCACCTGTGTAGCATCACTTTTTCTCCAAGTGTTGCCCTGAGCTCTATAGTCCAGGACTGGGGAAACAAACGCAGGGCCCTGCTGCCCCATCTGCCTTGATGATTTGCTAGGTATGGTGTTTTAAAACAATCAGCAAAATAATTTGCACTGCAGAGTCCTTATTATGTCTTTTTAATTGGACAGTTGTCCGTATTAATGGAAATCAAAAGCAGCATACAATCATTCAATCTCTCAGCACTGGAGTATATCCAACTGTTTTCCTGTTTTGTGTTCCACTTTAGCCCTTGTCTGTATGAACACATAAATTTTTACAGAGTTGCAACCACTGCCTGGTTATTGGCATCTAGTTTTCCAAGTAACATTGACACACATCTGCTCAAATCAATTGACGTTCCCATAGTGACTGACTCATTTGGCGGGAAAAACAAGTTTACATGCCAATTGGAACAAAGAAGCATGGGTATGGGGGAGCAGCAGGGAGAAAGAAATTGTGGGAGAGGGTTATTTCGTCTTACAGATCGTAAAACATTTTCCAATAACATTTTTAAAGGATGTATAATGTTACACTGAGTGATTGATTATATTTTAGCCCATGTTGTGGGACACTTGGGTGGTTTTCAATACCTAGTGAGTTAGAAATGCATATAAATTACAGACTTTGAGAGATGATTGTATTTTCTTGAAACAGGAGTCTTCTGTGTCCAGATCCGGGCCAAGAGTGTTGATGTAGTGTTTCTTTGTTGGAAAAAAAGGTCAGTACTGCTAACTGGAGATGCTGGATGTCTTCAAAAAAATATTCCTGTGATTGGAATTAAAAACATAATTATACTCCATTCGAGTTTATAAAGTATATCTTGTCCTCTAATTTAGAGAAATGTCAAATTTTAAATTTAGAGATTGGCAATGCTTTTCCTGGTTTAAGGGCCACCTCTGTCTAATAAACTTAATACAATGCCCGTGGGCTGGCAGCTTCCTCACTAACAAATCAAATGTGTTGGGAAAAAAAATGAGAAAACAATGGAAAGGTGCCTCCTTGAAGATGGTAACATTGGATCAATTAATCAGCTGACTGTCTGTTGACTCACTTTACACAAGTCTCCCACACATTATGATGCACATTTAGCAATGTTCAAAAAGAATAGCTTAGAGAGTTGCTAAAGAGAATTTATAGTCTGGAACGAATTGCCATCTTCTTAATTGACACAGAAATGTTTGGCTAAAATATTGCTTTATTCACATTTTTGTCCTTGGGGGAAATTTTAGGCACACTGTAACTTCGATCATGTGAACAATGGTGCAAGAATGAATGTTTTAAATCAGAAAAGGGCACCACACAGAGGGCGATGTGGACGCCCTCAATCTCTATGCCTTTAGGGGGCCCTGGGCGAAGGGCATCTCGCCTCTGGAAGGCAGCGGCCCCTCGCCAGGATCATCGCTCCTCCGCCCGCGGGCTCCCCCACCGGCTGCGTCTCTCACCTGGGTCCTGCGGACGCCCACTGTAGACAACAGGCTGGCGCAGGCAAGGTCCTCCCCAAGGGCTGGGCGCCAGGTGCTACCAGATGCCTCCCGGCTTGAGGGGGACTTTGCGCAGAGCGGGGACAGAGAGAGAGAGGGCAGGTTGGTCAGAGGCAGGAAGGCAGTCTCGTCTCGAGGTGCCTCCCCGAAGCCCAAGTGCAAAGGAAAGGCGAGTGGGGAATCTGTTCTCTGTCCAGGCCTCTGGGTGGCTGGCCTGAGGCGCCCGGGCCGCCAGGGGCTGGCAGTAGCCCACCCTAAAACCTCCAGGTCTGGGGGTCCCGACGGCCCTGGGAACCCAGAAGGGCCCAAACCGCCCAGGCCCGTCCAAGCTCAAGGGCATCTGGGGCCGCGGCCGGTGGTGGGAGGCTTTGGGGGGAGGCGCGCAGAGCCGGGCGGAACTCCAGCCACCACCACCTGAATCCCGGGCCTTCGCAGCCCGGAACTCGGCTGCGGACCCGCTCCCGGCCTGGGGAAGCTACTTCAAGGCGGCGCCACAGACCGAAGGGGTTTTCCTGCGTGTTCTTTCTTTTAAGCTGACGTAAACCGTGGACGAGATTCCACACCTCCCTTTGTCTTCTGCCAGTAGTCCTTACCTGCCGAGGCGCCAGGTCAAAACAAGTACTTAATCTAAAGTGATTGTCACAGGAAAAGTGAGCCCTCAGCCAGAGAATTGGACCTCTCTTTCCTAGGCCAGCTGTCAAACTCCTAGTGGACTCGGGACTCCCAGTAATGGTGGAGGTGGCTTTGGAGGTGATGTGCAACACTAATTAGCACTAGTGCCCAGAGCTTTGGAGGCACGATGGGACCCTGAGTCGACAGCTCAGGTGCTGCCGTTTTCTCAGGAAGTGTCATGTCAATGTCCTGCCAGGGGAGCAATCCCTTCAGTGAGACCCCTGGGGCAACAAAGGTGGCCTTGGGGTGGCGCCTGCAGAGTGGAATTCCAGGACCAGATTTTGGGTGGATAGGGCAAGCAGCACCTAGAAACGCAGAGCCTCATTCCGGAGCCACCCCTTCAGGTCCCCCGCTCCCCCTACAGACCTCAAATCGAAAGGGTCAGCTCCTTCCCTGGCCTGGGGTTACCGGCCTACACGCCCGGACCTCGCTGCTCCTCCGCCTGAGGGTCCCCCCAACACAGCTAGGAGGAAAGGAGGGAGGGGGTCGGGAAGGGGCCAGAAACTTTCATCTTTCCTGGACTTCAAATCCTTTTCACACGCGGGGCAGGACAGAACCCATTTAACCAGCAGCCGCTGAGAGGGCTAGGGACTGCTTGCACCGGGTCACCCTTCCTGCCTCTCCCCTTACTCTTTTTCCAATACCCCCCCCCAACTCCACCATTTGATTGTTGGGGCCAGAAAGTAGTCCTTCGTTTTTGTCGTGTGAGTGGTATTCTAAGTAATTAGGAAGGAATTACTGTAATAGTTTAAATTTTAGTCAGCGGGGCAAGGGGTGCTAAAATGAGGCCTCTTTTCCCCGTTTACATATTTAAAGACGGGCAAACTGTTGATGGAGAGCAAATGCACTAGTCCTGAGTCTCCCCGCGGCTCCCGGGGTTGGACTTCGCAGGCGCTGGACTAGGGTTTACCTGGTGGGTGGGCCCGTGCGGGAGTCCCAGATTTGGCCTGGCAGCAGAAACAATACTTCAGAGCACCGACCGCCCACTGCAGTACTGTTCCCGCTGCTAGGGCACGCCTGGGTGCGGGCCACCGCATCCCTCCTCGGTGCGCAGAGGGAGCAAGAAGAGGACCCCGAGCCCCCGTCCACCTACCTGCTCCGGAGCTGGCCTTGGAGCGTAAGCCTCGCGGGAGCTCGCTTCCAGCAGAATCCCACTGCCAACTTCCTCGCAAAGGGGTGTAGCAGCGCCTCATGTTTTGAACCAATGAAAGCACTTCAAAACATGAATTGCTGCTGCATCCCCTCGGAGTTAACGAAGGGGGATCGCTCCGGGCCACCGCAGGTGGTGAAAGACGCGGTGGCTGGAAGGCCGCCCCGTCCGCCCCGCCCAGTGGCGAAGGATGAAGCAAAAGGTAGGACTAAGATAAACCACTCCAAATCGACGCACCTTTCAGAGCTTCACGGTTTAATTCCAAGTGGTGGATCAGCAGGTGGAGTGGAGGGTATGACTCCATTTTTTTCCCTCACAGGATGAATCTTGGACAAGTGTAGTGGTTAAAAGCAGAGGGGTGAAGATAGGAGATAGAATGGGTAAGAATCTTACCTCTGGAAGTCCTAAGAAGATAAAATAAATCGAGGCAGTTTGGCAACATCTGGATCACTCTTGTCAGCTTCAATGTCTTAGCGAAACTTCTTCCTGCTGCACAGTCTCATTCTATGTTCCCATTTCAAAAAATATCATTTATTGACTTAGAGATCATCAAAATGTCTCTGGCAGCTTCGGCTGATTCTAACGTATAAGATAACTGGGAAATAAAGACCCGTCCGTACAAGCATCAGACGTTCTCTCTAACGCCCACTGCTTCATTCTTGGCAAATACCCTGCTTTGATTTCTTTTTAAAGGTATCAAAGAATGCGAGATAACTGTCTCTAGATGAAATATCTGTATGTTTACATATGAAACTGGTTACTCAAACTTATCTATAAATAATTCATACCTTTCAATGTCACCTATCAAAACATAAATCAAAAAGTTTAAATATTTGATGTCAAATCCCTCCTTCCTGTCTCAAGCAGCCCCGCAGAAACTCTTTAAATGTTCTGAAATGGCCGGCGCTGTGCATGCTTCTTAATGAGTAACTCATTAGATACCACTTTCTCCTTTTTAAAATGGACACACATTAGCAGTAAGTGACATGCATCCCTCTCCCCTTTAAACGAAATACGCAATTAAGCAGAGGAGAAACGACCCTGTAGCCCTCAATCACAAACCTAAAAGTTAAACCAACAAAACCAGCACAAAACTCTACTGGTTTTGAAAGGTAAAATACATTTAATGCGAGCAATAAGCACGTAAAGTATCCAAGCTTGCTGTTTCAGTTCATTTAAAAATGATGTCAGTTTTCAAAACCAGTACAATGGATGTTATGTCCTATTTATTAGTTAACAAAATGTGCAGAGTACTTAATGAGGCTAATTACAAAATTCGTAATTCCAGACTGAAATCAAGGGCTACCAACACAATATTTATGTCATGGTAAACAAAGTTATTAATAATAATAACCCCCTCCCTAAATTGGAACATACAATTAAGTGTCTCTAAATTCCGTCTTGTTTTGGATATGCTATTTACAAACAACTTTTACATTGACTTTTGGGATTAATGGAGAAAAACGTCCTTGGTTGCCCTTGCCCTTAAAAAGAAAAAAAATATGTTTAGCAAATGTTCAGTTACACTTTAAAACTGCACAACCTTCTCCCAATTAAATATTTATGCTCCCCACAAATAAGTGAACTATCCCATCAGAAGTTAAATTTGCCCCTAATTGAACATTTCCTTAATTCGCTACTTAGAAAAACAAAAGTTCATTCGAAATAGTAATGGTGTCAAAGGCGAACGTCTCTCCCAGATCGCTCTGCAAACTCACTGGAATCGAATTCTTTTGTACATTTCACTTAACCCCTTTCTTCTCTCCCAGTGACAGCACAACAACTTAAGTTCTGAAAAAGCCACCTCGCTCCCCTACTTCATGGATTTCCCCTTAGACTGAAACAGATTTACGAAAAGAGATTACAAAGGGGCGTCTTGTCACTTCAGGAGAGGGTCAGTCGTTGATACAACAGACAAAGAATCGATACTTTCGAGTTGCCCATAGCCCCACCCCCTTTCTGAACTGAGCTGTTCGGCCAAATCATTCAAGTGCCAAAGAATACGCCTCTTCCTCTGTTCCTATTTTACAACGTTTTGTCTTAATTTTACACATCGCTTCTTCCCCACACCGCGAACACACCATATGCCTTCCCTCGGCGCATTCGTGTCAAGCTTGCCCAATGTCAAGCTTCCTACAGGGTAAACTCAACAACCTTGAAAGTTTTAATTGGGAAAAGACAACGCAAAATTAACCACACATTTATTTCCAAGGCAGATTTTAGTGCCTGCAAATAAGAGCCACGAAAAGTCCACGTACACTCTGTCAAAAACAGTCGCTGCGGACTCTGGCAGGCTGGTAGTCAGTCACTGACCCCGTACTCAGTTTTCTCTCCCCGCCCCTCCATGTTAGCTTTTTTCTCAGCCCGTTTCCTAAGAATTTTCCCGGCCGCACTCCTGCCCTCAACACTTTCAAGGTCTGTTTCACCCGCACCCAGCCCTCAAACAGCCCCCAAACGTGCCTTACCACCCCAAAACAACACAGAGCTCTTTCAGCACTGTCACCAGATGTTTTTCGGTCTGCTCTCACCAACGTTACTATCGGGGAAAACGCCAGCCAACCGTCCCTTTAAAAAAAAAAATCTCATGTCACCTCTCGCTCCACTCGAAAATGGCGCCGAAATCGAAGAACTTCTTAAATTTCATTGTCAGCTTTTTGCAAAGGTTTCTGGGATTTTCCTGCGAAGCTGCTTCGCCGCGCCTGAGAGCTAGCGCCCGGTTAAGCAAGCAAAAGAGAGGGCGGAATGGGGTGGGGTGGAGGACACTCAGCGAGGGCGCGGGCTGGGGCGGGGAGCAGGGCCGGGACTTGGGAGTTGGCTAGGGCGCGGGGTGCGGGGGCCGGGCACCTAGCAGCAGCGACCGAAAGCCGGACACGGAGAGCTGGGAGCCGGGAGCCAGGGTAGCGGCGCGGATGGCGCGCTTCCGCGCTGGCTGCAGCCGCAGTCCCGGAGAGCGGCGTGGCGGAGGCGGAGCAGAGCGAGGGGCCGAAGCGGTGCGCTCGCAGGAAGACCAGCCAGGCAGCCAGCGGAGAGCCTCCGGCCGCGTCCCTAGAAAAAGCCGGCTCCGGGGGCGTGGCCACGCGGGGCTCACGCTCCCCCCGCCCCCCAACCCGGTTCCCTGCGTTTCCCCGGAGCCGGCGGGCGGAAGGGGGGAGGGGAAGAGAGGGAGCGGTAGGGAGGGGTGTGTGCAGGCACTCGCCGCCACAGCCTTGGCCCGAAACAGGGAAGGGCTGAGGAGGGCACTGGTCGCCCAGACTAGTCGATCCCCAGCCCAATAGCGGGGTGCAGGGAGAAAAAAGAGAGGCTGGGAAATGGCAAAGCCAAGGGCATGAGGTAGTGCAGAGCGCACCCAGTGACCCACAGGACCAATGCGCCTCCTCTCCGCGCCTACCAGTCTCCTAGCGCTGCCCTCTGAGCTTCGGGGTGGGAGCTAGGTGGCTGAGCAGAGCCCCTTGCACCGCGTTTGCTGGGGGTGCCTGAAAGGGTTTGGGGAGGAGGCAGAGAGCCTCTGACTGTTGGGCGCAGCGAGCTCTCCGAACGCTTGAGTCCGGGCTTGTCGCGACTACCCTTCCCATTGCCAGCCTGCCGAGCTCTCAAGAGAGGCCCCTGGGACCAGGCGAAACCCAGACGTGCTGGCAGTCCGCTCTACGCGACACAGCGCAGAGGGAGGGAACAACTGTCTACACGTGTCCCGGTCCAAGGAGGGAAACTGATTCTAATACCGAAGGGGGGCAGCAGGAGGGAAATGAGCCCTTATTCTGGATGCTAAATAAAGGCTGTTGGGGACGGGGAGGTAATTTTCTTAGGTGTGAGAATGGTATTGAAGGTAAGTAAGGAGGATGTCCTCACACGTAGAAGATTCATGCTGAAATGGAGAGGTGAAGTGCCTGCCACCACGTCCGCAGTTTTCAAATGATGCAGCTAACACAGGTACACATTCTGAGACAGAGAGGGAAGCAAGGGTTGCAATATGATAACAGTTCTTACATCCAGGTGGGGGTAAACGGACGTGCGGGGTACTGTTCTTTCAACGTTCTTGTATATATTTGCAAAATGTCATAATAAAGATTTTGTGAGAACCCCCTTATAAAACGGCGCCTACAAGCTAAGAAAAAGAGTGCGGCTTCTTTTCCTACCAGTCCCGGGTGGGACAAATCTGAGAGCAGGCAGAGCTCAAACCAAGCAGGTTCTGGGCAGGAAGAGCAATGAGTAGCGCTGGCCCCCAGCTGCCACAGCCCTGGGCAAGGGACGCAGGCCCGGGGAACCGGGGACCTCTGGGCAGGTGGGCAGCCAGGCGCACGGCGCTGCTAAGGCGCGGCTGAGCGCCCTGGGAGGGAGCTCCCCTGGCGGTTCTCCGCAGCCCGGGGTCCGACTCAGACTGGGTCGGCGCGGCCCTGCCCCCGCCGCAGGCGCGGCGGAGGGGCGAGGAAGTCGGTGGGCCTTGGGGAGTGAGCCGCGCGTCCGCCGCCACCGCGGCCCATGTCCCCCGCACTCCCCGAGGGAGACCCAGGCGGTCGCGGCCCGCGCCCTGCACGCAGAGTAGGGAGAACAGCGCGGGCGCTGGGAAACAAAAATCAGGTGCGGAAAGAAAACAGCCGCAGTCACGCGCGCGCGTGCACACACACGAAATCAGTATACACAAATAAAACCAGGGATTGCGCTGTGCTTGGCGCTCGAATTTCTTGAGCTACTGAACTCTCACATGCATTTTACTGTGATGTTTCTGTAGATCTGGTGTAAAATTTTGATTTCTTTGCAAGAGCTATCTTGCAGACCCCAGGCATTGCAAATGTGGCTTGGCCTTTCGCGGCTTCTGAGTCTTTTTTTTTTTTTTTTAGTTTGAGGGGAGGGAGAATAGAGTCTTCTAGGGTCTGCAAAGCTATTTTTAAAAATTCAGCAAAAA